GAACACGATACCATCCCTCTGACAACCATCAGGGAAAAAGATCATTATGGTCGTGGATTTTTAATGGTTTGGGCAGGCATTATGTTGAACGGCCGCAGGCTTGTTATAAGGTACACAGAGGAGATGTTAAAATCCGTATGTCCGACATTTCAGGGGCATATTTGGTCCTGTGTTTCTTTTTAATGGTCGACAACACTCGTCCACACAGGGCTCAGTTGGTCGACGATTTATCTGAAAATGAGGACATACACCGCATAGATTGGCCAGCCGGATATTCTGACCTTGTATAATATATCTGGAACTCTCTTGATAATTTAGGTAATTTCATCTCATCCCCCCAATCCCCTTACGAGACCCTTCGAGGGCATTGCTAATTTTTCATGTCTCCTGCTTCGAAATAATCTAATAGCTCTAGAGTGGCGCCCGAACTAAAAGGTGGTGAATGATGGTTCTTCACCATCAGGATTTAGTGAATGGGTCCCCTAATCCCGAGTCGCCCTTTAAAAGGGCAGTATATAAGATATGTTCTCCCACTTTCTTAGCATTTCTTTGGTGTAGTGGTCAGTACGCTCGACGCAAATTCGAGAGGTTCGTGGTTCGAGTCTTGGCGAGGGCATTGTTCATTTTTCATTTTTCCCTCTTCGAAAAAAAAAAACCTAATGTCTCTACACATTTACAGGAACAGAAGCTGCAAATTAATTCCCTGTTATCTTGAATTCGATTTAAATAGGGACGTAATATATTTTTTTTAAAGTTATTCAGTTTCTTTGAATAAGTTATGTAACAATTGTTGTACCAATTTTGCTAGACTGAAAATTTTTGTTTGATTTTGGCATTGATTTCAGTAAAATAGGAGGCTAGACGCATTTCAAGGAAATGCTTTCTGCCACTTTATTACCAAAATTAACGCCAAAATAAGAATAACCAAATTACTCTTAACCAAATTACTGTGTTACCAAATCAACATCAAAACAAAAACGATTTTCGTAGTTTACAAAAGCTAAATATGGCCTTCAGTCTTGTATGTGTCGGAAGTTTTACTTATAATTACTATTCTTTCAAATTCGAGTGACAGAGATATAATTACAAAGCGACAAGATACCTGTGCACAAAGATATAATTACAGAAATACCTTTACAGGTAATAAAATGTCCAAACCTAAGGTAACAAACGCTTTTTTTGAAATACTAATATGAATTACCTACTAATAAAAATATCCTAAAATCTAGATGTTATAAAGTTTTGATTATGAATATAGTTCGGGTATTTCCTTTGATAAGAAAACAGTGAAACCTTGAAATTTACGAAATAAATTCCAAAGGGATATTTTTACGAGTAAGCTTTTTTTTGTGTATAAGGATAAGAGCTCTGATTAGATAAATCATAGTTCGACATAATTATTTCGATGATGGACTAAGGGAATGATTGTCGGAAAGACTCAGAAAAGCCACTATCAAGCGGAGATAGCCTGATGGCTACTGGTCTCCATAAAACTGATACGCTTAGTGCAAAGACAGCTTCAAGAGCTTGGTAATATGTAACATCACTAGATAACGTGGTTAAAATGGACCAATCTGATGCAACTTTTTTAAGTGACGAGTGGTGGGCTTTCTCCTTAATTCTCAGAGAAAAACCCTCTTTTGTAATGCTATGATTATCATTTCCGCATGCAAATCGAAATACATTCGCAAAGGATGATATTTGCTGAGTCGAAAGATTAGTTAGATAAACCTCAGCCCTAGAGAATGGGAGGAAAATGAGGTAACGGAGACAGAGACAGTGATATGTAAGAACACCATGAATTTAAAATACTATGTAATGGACGACTGAGACTTATCAACACCATTTATTTTCATTTCTGATCAATACTTATTAGTCCAAAGGGGCTTTGTCCCTGAAGGACTATTGCTTTCGTTTTGCGACTTTTCCTTGAAAACTTTAAAAGGCTGTACCACTTTTCATATCGTTGCTACCAAATACTATCGCCCTGCATTATATTTGAAGAAATTAAATAATGAAGAATCTTCATAAATGTATGTATGTTTCTCGCATTGTGATAAAATAGCAGTACCTAAAGCCATACAATTTTGAATAACGTAATCATCCTGCGAATATGGGTATCTGGAAGCCCAAATTTGAAATTTGGAATTTGTTTTGTTATCGATTTCATATTCTGTAAAACCTTAACGAATTTCTGATTAACAAACTTAAGGGGACATGTGACATGTCGACTGGCAAAATGCAACTATTTCGAGACGAAAGTTATTAAGATATAACTTTTCTCAAAATAAACTTATACACATGATTCTTTTTTTCATTTAAAATGCATAGATTACAGATTACAGAAAACACATAAAATATATATTAAATGCCTAATATTTTTAAAAACCAGTTGTTTAATTTCACTTACCTTTGACGAATCTCTTCATCGGACAATGTGTGCTAGTTCGGTACACTTTTCTTAAAATGTCTTAAAATGTACTGCACCAATCGTCCTCAAATCGTGCATGGTAATTAAAAACATATCATTTAAGAATAATAAGCAGTATTTTACATTTTACTTAAAAAGAAAAAAATATTAAAAATAGATTAGTAAAAATGCTTTGAAAAATCACAAAAAAATTAGTATTAAATTATTAATATATCCAATACTAATGAATGCTCGTAAATTTTATATCCTGCATAGTTTCAAAGAAATAGTAATGATAAACAACTATGGAAAATTGGCACCTTCCAGGTCGAATAGTTTTCAAGAAAAATGTACCGAAAGTTAAGAAAAACACATTTTGAGAAAAAAACGAAAAAAAATATTTAAAAAACTAATAATTTATAAAAAAATATCATTTAATATTTTCCTGCACCATAATCATCTTGAATTGACATTTCTACATCAAACTGTTTTTGTTTTATAAATTTATTTTTCTTTCTGGCCATTTTAGAAAGCTTTTGGTAAGCGAGCTGGCCCTCACGAATTCTAAGACAATCTATTTTTCTCAGACTCTTTACCATATAAAACCTTGGTTGCATTCCTAATAATTCCATTACTTTACTCCGGCTTTGTACACCATCATTAAAACATATTATGGCATCGAACAACCCAATTTTAAGGTGATAATACTCACAAAAACAGTTTTTGGTATGCGTATCCAGATGCAATTATTAAAACTTTCATTTGGGGTTTTGAGTTCGTCCGTGTAAGCACTTTGACAGCAGCTTTTTGTCAGACAGACTTCTAAACACAGCATTTCCACTTTTATGTCAGCATTTCCACTGTTATCTGCAACTGTTTCTTTTACAGCTTTCAACATGGATTCTTCAGCAATTTCTGATAATACAGGTAACAAAATTTTGTTATACTTCTGAAAGTCACTTGGCGGAGGGGGTAAGTTCATAACAGCGCAGAATGTCTCTGCAGCTTTCTTCCCTTTACCAATGCAACGCATTGCATAAGTAAGGCGTAAATTAACATCGCAGCATCTTTTAGATTTTTTAGATGTCATACTACTCGTAGAATAACCACATGCAGTACACAAATACAGTAAACTTACTGCAAGTCCTCTGCGGGAATTACTTTGGTCTATCACATCAAAGAATCATATTTCCCACACTTCTTACATTTTGCAAATGCCTTCAATAAATGCAATAATGTTTCTGTTTCAATTATAAAGTTTCTACTCTTCTGAGACTCTAAGAACTCATCTTCGCCATTAACTATGCCGATTTTGTACTCAGATGCACTCATATTTAGGGGAGACTTACTTACATTATGGGTAACATCTTTCACATATGTATGTTGATTTCCGATATATTTTCTCTTCCCGAATGATTTTTTTCTCGGCATTTCCTTATTTAAAACTTTTATTCACTAACATAACACAATAAAACAATCAAAAATAAACACAGAAAGCACGAATTTAAATGAAAAAGAACGAAAAGAATAGCGAAACACAAATTAAACAAAGCCAAGTTGTAAATACGAAATTCGACAATTATCCACTACACAGCTTAGTGAATAAGCCAATTTAAAAACGTGTTGCCAAATGTCTTTCATAGAATCATATTCTGACCAAGGAAGTAATAAAAACTGCTAAAACATCTGTATGTGCAAGTGATAATAAACAACGATAAAACATCTGTCCCTTTAAACTTGTGGGCGTGCCAGTGCTTGTTTACATTTTAAACGAGAGATTTCGCCCTTTTAAAATTTCGAAACATGCATAAATTATATATTTTTGGAATCGTCTGAGTCTACTTTATTTTTCTAGCGCAAAATTGAAAATTCGAAAATTTTTATGTCGTTTGTCCCCTTAAGGATTTCAAAGCGAGCAATGGCAACGTTGTACAGGAAAAACATTTTTATCTCCAGCGCGTCAGTTTAAAATTGTTTTGCGTTATTGCTGTTGAACTGAATTTTATGGTTTAAGGGCAAAGAACATGATATTTAATAAATAAAGGTAACACACAACACGTTAAGAAAACGCCCCTTCGGACGTAATTTTAAATCTGAAACCTTTCAGATTTTTTTAAAAATTTTTATTTCTTAACAATCTAGTCAGTGGCATGACAGCTTATTGTTAAGACCTGTATGGTTGTCGAGAGTGGACACATTCGCAATTATCTTACTCTTTCTTGGAGATTTGTTATATCTTGAATTCAAATGGATATAATAGGTTTTTGAGACACTATGTAGTTTGCGTTTATTTTATTAACTTTTGACATCAATGCACTCGTAAACATATTTCATCAGTTGTCCTTCTTGCACGTACTGCTTTCGAAATTATATTACTATGTCGTGAATGGTTGTATACTCTTGTCTGATTATTTCTAACATCCATGAAATGCCATCTTAAAGCAAGCAAACAACCTATCGCACAAAACTAAACAGAGATCCTCATTAGTACTAATTAGAAAGCTAATGTTGCGTATTATTATTCAATATTAAAATTTAATTATATTTAGTTTATTCCTTTTTCTTGATATTAATTTTACTTCTTTTTCAGACTAAAGTTAAAAATGTACTGCCCGATGGATTTCAAGTACTTTCCATTTGATCGCCAAATTTGTTCTTTTGAACTGGAAAGCTGTAAGTATTTTAGTAACACTCACAAAATCTGTAATGCTTGCAAAATGTATTTTTAAAAATCTTTCTCTTGATTAAAATTTGTTAGCTTTGTTCATTAAAAACTGTTTGTTTTACTAAAATTTCATTTTAAAAGAATGGAATTGTGCTCCGCCTTCTGTTCTGATGTTAGGAACATAATGTTCTGGGTGGATCTCGGCCTCACAAAGGGCCGCCAAATCCATTTTCGGATTAAAAGAAACTGCGGGGATTTATTTAATTAACTTAAGAGTTATTTTATGTTGAAGAAGCTGTCCTATGGCTCTTGCTTTCAACTAACACATTCTTGAAAGAATGCAAACCGATTAGCGCGCGTATATTCAAATGAGGTAGGAAAAAGTTAGTATTAAGAGAAGTTTTCAGAAGATGAAATCAGAGCATGTTCTGCCTGTCTGTAGGCCGTGTTTCTATCTTTGATTTTCTAGCGGTTAGACTCTATGGCGTTGAGCTATTCTTGCCATCAGGTTTGTTTACATCGAATTTTTGAGTCAGAGCCGCTTGCGCAGTAATTAACGAAGCCGTTAGGCTAAACTTAATTTGAATTATTATAATTTAAATTGTTATTCATTACTTTTTGAGTTAAGCCAAAAGTGTTGGTTTTTGTTAGCTCGAGTTGGTGCCGTCTGCGAACCTGATTTGTGTTAAAGGGTCCTTTACACTTTCTCCTGACTTTAGAGTACTTTAAGACTTATTCACTAAACAGCTTTCTAAATTCGAGCTCAGTTTATAACAGCGAAACATACAAGACATTATAAAAGAGTGTACGTATACTATGTCTTAAGATGAGAAACCTCCAAATTTCAGCAGAGCTAATTTTAGAATTCGCCGCTACTTCAGAAACTCTCTACTGGGTATAATGGATTTTTTAAGACAGAACATTGGCGGACTTTATTAGAACTTTCAGCAAACTAGTGGTACCAATGTATCACTTAAAAACCTGTCTACTGTCTTGTAAAAAGTTAAAGAATTTGAGTAGTTATTTTAATGCCTGCGCATTTCAAAAGTAAGCCAAGCTGCACATGCTTTCGCAAACTAATAAATATATTTTTATAAATAATTTTGTCTTTTTGATTCGGATAACTTCCTTGTTTTGATGATTAAAAATAAATATGACCTTAGTGTAAGTAAAGGTATAAGGTCATAAAATATTCATAAAAATTTCCTTAATGTAAGCATATATAAAACTGTTCAAAAGTTTTCCTTTATTTGATAAAGACTGTAGAGTCTCGTTCGTCTCTTGGTAACATAAACAACGAGAACTCTTAAGACTTAAGTGACTTACACTATGTTTTTAAAATTACAACAGAAACATGGGAAGAATGTAAAAAATTATTTTTAACTCATATAAGAGATTAACAGAAGGCCCAGTTCAGGCTTACTAGCCAGCATTTATGGCGTAACTCAAAAATTAAGAGAACTGAAACTAAAACTAAGCTACTCGGAAGTTAGCCAAAAGGCTACACAGACAAAATGCTCGCAGGTTGGCTCAAAAACCTAATATCAGCATGTCAAGCGTAATGACGAGAATAGCTCAATGCGACAAGTAAACTGCTCACAAGAGAATCAAGTAGCAAACGTGGCCTTCAGCAGTCGAAACAAGCTCTGATTCTATCATCTAAAACATTCCTTTAAATATTATATCTTTCTACCTCATCTGAATACGCGCGAACTAGAAATTAGCATTCTGGCAAGGAAATGGAAAATGAGAAAGACAGCAAAGCTAATTAACATAAAGTAACTGGTTAATAAAACTATATGGATAGCTTACCAGATGCTATTTTAAAAAATTGCGTTTATACTAATCCACAATAATCTTGCTCAGCAGTTACCGTCAGTAGTTGCAGTCAATACTAAAACGATAGTTTGGAAAAAATTGCTTCTTAATACAATTTTTTTTATCTAACACTTGATTTCAGATTTGGAGAAAAATAAAATTTCGCGCCAGTTTCATGCTGTGCAATTCCTTACTTAACACCAAAAAAATGTACACCAATGAAATTCTTATTGTTAATACGTGGCTCAGTTAAAGAATTTCTGGTTAACTCGATTATTTTATCACTAGTTTTCCCATAGCAGTCCCTTTTTTTTGTTACTATGTTAGTCTTTTATCGTATTTAATTGTTAATTATAAGTAAGAAGGTGCTAGCAATCGAAAAATTTTTAATGAAAAATTCATTTAAACTGCCCAAAATTAAATTTTTAAGACCTTTACCACTATCAGGTTCAATGTTCCTTCTAACCTTCTTCGGGAACATACAAGGACCTGACTCGGAACAGAGAGCTTACTAAAGCTATGTTCACTAATTGTGGTAAGTAGACAGGATACAGACGAAGGGTATACAAAACCCTTTATTTTTCTCTATTTACAATGACTTCCGTACTTCGGAATACAATGACCCTCCACTCGGGGTCTAACGTAAAAGATATAAAAATAAAACTAAACTCTAATTTAACTTTAGAATAATAAACGTGGAAGATTGGCCTTATAATAACAGGAAGCGTATGTAGCACAGAGACTGTGAACACTACAATACGTTTAAAATTATCAAGAGGATTAAAACCTCTGGCCTGGAAGGCAAAGTAGCAACTGCGTAACTTCTAAGGTAAGCGGCCTGCTTCGAACTCACTGCTTCCTCTCTCTCGCTTGGCAAAAAGGCCACAACTTAAATACTTGGCGTTCGCCAGACAAACTTTGCATAAACTCCTTCACGCTTATAATTCTGGCCGGAAGTAGAAAATAAGAAGTGATAGTAAAGATTTAAAATAAAATAAACGTTAGTAAAACTTAAGATCCTTACATACTTCCCGCCAGAGTTAATTAGTTTGAAACTGAGGTCTAAAACGACCTTGTTGAAAACTTTTAGCTCTAGAATCTAACGCGAGGCCAATCTTTTACAAACATAACTTTTCGCTAGAAACTAGAAAATTTAAAAGAAAGAAATTTGTTTTTACAATAGCAGCTCCCAGGATATACAACAATCTTTTTTTCATCTGTACTGCATCTAAACAGGAGCTTTTATTCAATTCTGGTTCCTTCCAGAGATCTGGAAGGAAAACTAGTTTAATGAAATGTTACACAATGACATGGCAAATAACATATAGAATTATACTTTCTCTTAACATTCTTATTTCATTCATGACTATTTTAATTATCTCTCCCCGTGCTCTCTGACATGTGTTGTAAAAGAACACCAAACACGAATGTGTTTCTGTCTATGTGTTCAACACTTCCTCCTACAATCAAAACACTAACGTGTTAAAATTCAACATACGAAGACCTCTTAACACACCCTAATTTCAACTCTAAACCCTGAGGTACTATTCTGAAAGTGGCTAACTCTAAAGTGTAGCGTCAGAGAGCCTAACTACATCATTCAACCTTTAACACATATTCACCATGATTTAATCTTTTTACAGTCACACGAATAAAAAAAATTTTAACATTACTTTCACTTTTACCATATCACGGTATTTCTTAACATTTAAAATAACAGTTCACATGTATATAAGAACATATCAACATGCCGTTAATTTTACACATTTGAAAACATACATTAGTAGTACATTGTTAACTTCTATTCTTTTCAAAGCAAGTGCCAATTCTTTCTACATTGAAATAATACTACATTTCAAAAAGTCTTTCAGACTAAAACTTCTTTCTTGCTTAGAATGTTTTAAATAAAATTTATACAATAACTTTTTACAATATTTAAGTCTTTACACAACGCTATTATACATCAACTTTAGTTTTACGCGCGAGTAATTGAAAAACATAATAAGAAATCGGTCACAACTCATTTCTCGCCCTTTTGGCGATAAAGGTAGACCTCGCATGAGGTAAAACTTCTTGAAATCTGCCACTTGCAGTAAGAATGAAAGATTAACTTAAGTTTGCAAAGTAACATAAAATTTTACTTATCTTTGTAATATTCGGACATCCTTTTCTGGGCCCAGTCTTTAAAGGTAGCTGCAGATAGTTGTTTGATTTATCCTCCTTCTTGTACGGGCTCGCCCTTCAGTGCTTTCCTCTGGAAGCTTCCTTTTTTCACCAGTACGGCCACCCTTGAATACCTTCCTTTTTCCTCTGCTTGTGGTCTTGGCCGTTTGAAGGCAGCTGGTCTTGGCGGAACCGGGAAACTTCTGTCGTGATCCTGCTTGGACCTCGTTGTTGGCCGTTCAAATTTTCCTTGTACTTTTTCCTCCGCCGCTGATGGCCCTTCCGCAGTTCGGCGACTTTTGCTGCGGAGAGTTCTGTCGGATGAGTCAGATCTTCCGTTTTAGAGCCGGGTTATAGTTGCCGTCATTTCTCCTGGTCTCTTTCACATACGTCGTCCTTCTCCCTTCTTCATTCTGGGGGTGTTCGTGAACTCTGTTTTCTGGACGGTGGAACGGCTTCTTTTTCTTGTACCTTCAATTTTTCCGCGGGGCAATTTTCTTTTCACTTGCTTCTGTCTCTCAATTGGCTTGCCCTTGTACTTGTCGTTTTTCCACCTCTGGAACTTGTACCTGCGGTGTCTGCCGTGCCGGATCCTGCAAAAGATCTGAAAAGATTTGCATTTTATTACGATCGATAGTAGGGTTTGATTTGATCAATGTTTGCGGAACAGGTTTCACCATTTCTGGCTTTTAACACACTACAACAGCGTGAGTTATTTTTTCTATAACATATGGTCCTTCAAATCGTGGAAAAAATTTGGCAGTTTTATCTTCTGGTGCTGAAGAAAGTGAATGCTTAATTTTTAAACTTCATCCCCTACTTTATAAGTTACTCCCCGTCGTTTCAAGTCATAATAGAGCTTTTGTTTTCTTTGTGCTACTTCCGTATTCTTTTTTGCTTCTTTTATTAGTTTTTCTATATCACCCATTTTAAATTCTGGGGCTCTTTGTTGCACATAAAATAATTTATCTAACGGTGTTATAATCTTTCTGCCTAGAAATAACTCAGCAGGAGTTTTGCCCGTTGT